ACCAAAATGGTTATATTTAAAAATTCTACGGACTAAAATAGACATTATTAGGGACAAAAAATTACCCTATCAAATTTTCATGAATTGACGTTACAATATGAAATTGGTTGAGCTGCGTGGGTCAAATCTATTAATATTAATGAGTTTTATCTCAAAACCAATTGGCAATAAGAGGAGTACCCATATCTATCATTAGCAAAACCAACCTCAACCAAACCCCCAACTAGACTACCCCAACCGACCTAAACAAGGTTGAGTCGATCTACTTAAACCAATCCAAGGAGACTCATTATTGGGATGCGAGTTACACTCTCACAACTCTATTCTTGCTACTCTCAACAAAACTCTTTTATAATTTAGACATTGGAGTGTATTAGACTTAGCATCACATATGTGTGCAGGTATTAGCTAGAACTATCGACGATGGAGACTGAAATCAAATTCTTGCATCAACAAATATTTTAAAAGTTTAGGGATAAAAAAAAGTATAAATAAATTGAAATAGTCAAAATAAGATTTAAAGATTTGTAATTTAGTACAAAAAAAAATATATAATTTAAATTGCAATATGCCAAAAGATGATAGAAACTTGTGCCAAAAAGTGCATCTAGGCGTAGCTTGTAATTGATCTATGGGTTTTCACTATTTATTAATCACTTGATTACATTTTTGAAAAATCCATTTAATTACACTTTATTTCTATTGACGAATATAAATACAGAGGAGGCGAAAACATTCATTTATTCCCCATCTGCGACATTTTGAATATACAATGCACAAAAAAACTTTATTTATTTATCTATTTTTCGATTATATTTCTACGCATAAGTGAACTAGATGAGAATTTCTATTTAAATACAAGTAAAAGAAAAAGTCTCCAAATTACCAAATTATCCTTCCAGACTGATGGTAGTTGCAGGTTGAATTAATTATATATTGACTTCAACAAACTTAGAGGTTGGTGTAATGAATATTTTTATTTTTATTGTTATCCTAATTAAATAAACCAGAGGTTGGATGTTGGTAGTGTTATTAAATGTTTTTCTTTTTAATTTTTGGCTGCTAACCATTTTGTATTTATATTTTTTTTACTGATAGATGCCACATTCAATATTTGAATGCTGAACATTGTACGAACCTTAATTATTTATTGAGTCTCTATCATCAATAATATATAATCAGTGCCAAAGCAAATATAGTGTAGTGGTAATTGACGTATGAGTTCGAATCCCCACCCCGACTTGTCGTACTCAAAAAAGAAATGGTATACAATCAGTTTTGACTAATTAATTTGCTCTGTCAAAAAAAGAAAGGAAAAAAAAATATCTGGTTTGTCAAATTTCACAGAAGTAGAAAACTTTACCGCTTTCAATTATGTAAATAGCAACTGTTTTGTTTTTTACATATATGATTTTCAATTATTGTTGAATGATATTATAATTATTGAATTTATTCAGTAGAAAATATCACTGTGAGTGTCATATTGTGTGCATGAAATATATGTAAATTGTTTGTCAAATAAATACTTACTTCTTTATTGTCGTGTATGATGAATAATATGTTTTTGTGTGTTTTTTTTAATTATCGAAAACTATTTCATCACTTTTTTTCTCTCCTTTCTGACCCTCTAATAGCGCGTGATTCTTGCTATTTTGTTAAATTATGAATATACGTAAATTATTATTATTTAAATTGGCACCAAATGTAGTTAGAATTCTCAGTAAATCATACTTATAAATTATAATTAATGTTAGCAAACATACTTAATATGATGAATTTCCTCTAAAATTTTTGAAATCCGGTATAATTAACCTAAAATATGATGAAATTGGTATCGTACATTTTAGGGATGCAAAGAATAGAACGTGAAAGTTATAATATAAAATATCTTGTTGAAGTAAATCAAAATAATTAAAATCAATAAAAATAAGTTATAAACAATTCTCATGTGTTTATCGATATATAATGATTAGGTCAACATTTACCTATATTTTGATAAGTAAGTTGATAAGGTAACAAAATAATATTAAAACTGATATATTTAACCATCATGGGATGGGTTAAGTGGTGAATGAAGATCAATATAAATTCGCAAACTATTGGGACACTGGATATAAAACAAAACTAAACTGATATATTTTTTTAAAATTTTACTGGGATAATATGAATTTAATATATATTCTGAAAATGATAAAAGTATTCTCAATTTATAAGACATTTTCTTTTTCAAAAAAATATAAATTGATAAATAAATTTGTTAAATGATTTTTTTAATCGTATAAGGTTAAATTGCCTTGTTAAATAAGTTTTAATCTATGCATATTGATAAATTATCATAATGTTCAAAAGATGAATGCCATATTTAGATAAATGAAAAGTGAAAGATATTAGCAAATGATAAACTAAAGAGTAAAGATAAATTATTTACAAAAAATTCTATAAACAAGGAATAAAAACAAATTCTAAAAATTAAATTTGAAGATGCAGTTATTTTATTTTATATTTTTTTNACCGTTTGTTTCTATTTTGCTGTTAAAAAAAAAAAACTGTTTATTTATAATTGAGTTAATATCTATAGTTAGATAACTATTTTACTTTCTAAAAATTAGGCTTGTTTTTCGTAATTTATTTGATATATTTTCAAGTTTAAAAAATAAAAATAAAAATTTTTAAATTAGTTTTCAAATTTTGATTTTGATTTTGTAAATGCTTTAAAAATATAAATAACAAGATAAAAAAATAGATAGTTACCAAAAATGTTTATAAACTTAATTTTTGAAAAATACAAATTTAAAATAAAATGATTATCAAACTAGGTTTATATGACATACTTTAATTTTTATCTATTTGGAAATTAGGTATTTAAAATAATTGTACGATTGCATTCATATTAAAAGCCTCTCTATCAAGGTTTATAATAATACCAAATAAGCTACCGAAACAAATTTTTAAATTTTGTTTATTTTTATGTAATATTGCATGTAAAATATGAAAACAAAATAAAAAATGAACTATAGTAGAAATTCAAGAGAATATTACTCGGATCTCTCTCGAAACAAATAATAATAATAATAATAATAATAAATTCCAAAAATAATTTTCTCTTGGAGTCGGGAAGAGGAAAAAAGAAGAAAAAGGAAATTGGAAGAGAGAAATTGAAAGAAAGCTGAATTGTAGGACTATTTTTCCTTTTCTTTTTTTTTTTAATTAGTTTGACAAATATAAGGTGTAATTAAACCATCCATCTTTATTATAGCAATAAATTTTTATTTCTCTATACATAAAAAAGAAAACTAATGATAGATTTATTTATCACTTAACCATACTTAAATTGACAAATCATAGGGATTAGTTAGAGTCGATAATAATATTTATTTTCCATCTCATGTATATATATAATACTTTCTCTTTTGTGTGTGTATATAATACTTTCTATTTTTCCCTTTTTTGACATTTGTTTGAAAATGAAAATTTCCTGCCTATAGATTTTTTTCCAACAATTTGTTTCTTAAATAAATATGACAGTTCTGCATCAATATAACAATCAACTACTTTTAATGATTAATATTAATATTATAGTTTTGAAATTTTGCATAGTTAAAAAAATGGGTTAAATAAGTTTAAGTGTAACAACCATGATAGTTTAGAATGCTGGATGTATTTTACAATACTTAAAAACTCAATTGTAAAATTTCATAAATTTAAATAAATTAAGAGTTCGAAGACGTGATTGCAATAACTACCGGTAGTTTAGGAGTAGGTTTTGCAAATTTTCCATTATCGTATTAAACGATTAAAAAAAATTAACGAAATAAATCTAATCGTTGAATGAGAAAATGTTTTAAAATGTGTTTTTAATTTTTCCAGAGAGAAACAAAACAAAAAGAACGGAAACTGAGAGTGTACTGTGTAATGTGTACCCAAAGCTGATGATCGGCGTCCATAATCTGTCAGGAGGCGGCCGCCGTGAGTCGGAGCGGAGCAAAAGCAAACCTACCGACCAAATTGCACAGCGAAACCCAACTCAGAAGTTGGAAATGACTTTATCTAAAATCTATCCGCGATATGAGGATGAAATTTCGATGTCTGACGATGAAATTCTCAATTTCATGAAATATCAATACAAATATGATAAAATGTCGATGTGATATTTATGTAAAAGTTAGAAAAATTAAAAAATCGTAAAAAATATTTAAATTAACAAATAAACATTTTATTATTTCTAGATTAGTTAAAAATAATTAATATTAATATTATGTAGTATGAGTATGTCGATGAAAATGTCCAACGGATATTTAGAACCATAACGGTACATAATTTTCTAAAAAAGAAAAAAAAGACATTTTTGTTGATATTTTTCATATTTCGTCCAATTTTTTTACTATGATAGAAATGTCGATTTACTTCTCATGTCGATGTCGGATCCATGAAAATATGAATATGTCGATGAAAATGTCGATGGATATTTAGAACCATGACCGTACATGATTTTCAAGTTTCGCCTTGTTCGTGTTCTCCCCGGAGCGTGGGGTGCACTTTCCCAAGTTGGGTATTAGTTGCAGTCAAAAAGACCCAAAATGGATTGGGCCACATGGCCCAAACCCAACCCATATTTATCTTATTGGTCGTTTCCCCCATCCCCCGCTTATAGCGCATGTACCACTATACTTAGTCTGCCTCTCTCATTTTACACGACCATTTTACCCCCGCCAATTTCATTTATTCTCTTTCCCCACCCCTCGCGTCTGCCCAGGGGCATAGTTTGTCCCATTGGGCTCGGATCCGGGTGGGCTATTGGTAATTATCTTAATAGTCGCGGCACCTTTTGGGGTTTTTGGAGTGTTGAAAGGATAATTAATATAGAAATTAAATCGAAGGGATTGTAATTTATTAAAAATAAAAAAATATATAAACCGGGAAGAAATTTAACGGTGAACGGAGAAAATCCGAACCGGGGAAGGGGTCTCGATATTTCCTATATAAACCCCCATGACACATTGCTTCGCCTCATATTTGCATTCTCTTTCTTCCTTCGCTTTTGCTTGCTCTGACTCTCAAATCAAAGAGCCCCCTTCCCCTCTCATCTCCTCTCTCTAAAATTTGTCTCTCTCTCTCTCTCTACTTATGCATTTAAGGATTCAAGGAGTACCCAAGAGGTAAAATTCTCGAACCAAAAATACCATTTGATTTATTCTCTCGTTTGTGTGGAGGAATTTGTTGGCATCCCGAAGATCAGTTGGCACCAGTAATGAGATCCGAATTGCATAATTGTTGCCTTTGACTATTGGTAGGTTGCATTAGTTTTAAATCTGTACGTATTCTTGATTAGATTTAAATTATTCGGTTCGATCTCTAACTTAGGTTGTTCTCGATTGCAATCATAATGATGGTCATAGAGGCTGGGTTCCGGGTTTCAAGTGTTTATAATTCGATAGTCCTGGCTGGTTTGGCAATTTGAACTAGTTAGGAAGAGGAATTGATTGGAGGGGTGTGCGTATGATTTATTTCTCCCTTTTTTGCCCTAGAGGAAAGATGCTTGCTGTTGCTGGTCTTTAATTTTATTAAAGAATGGGTCTATCTGGTTTATTGGCGGCTCTCTTGATCTGGAGCGATTTACTGGATTTTCAGTCCAACTGTCTTGCACTATATTATGGAATCTCAAATACCTAATTGGTTTAACGCAGGAACGTTTTTGTTCTGTTTTTACCAATTTAGTGCCTTGGTTGAGTTAAAATCCCGTTCCTTAGTTCGCTCCAGGTTCACTTGGTGTCTTGTGTCGTGGTGACATTAGTGGTTATGTCGTTGTATAATCACGCGCGTGAATAATATGAATGGTGAATATGCTTTTTAGTTGTATGCTCTGCAGTATCGCAAGTTGTGTAATCTAACTAAAGTTATGCATTTTACTTGGAACAAATTCTATCATGCATACATGACTGGTGTTTTAATATAGCTTCTTGTGATAGTTGTTCTCTCTTGTAGATTTGATTTGTACACTATACATTGAGCCCACAAAATCCTTCTGATGTCAAACCTTGATGATTGAGCCTTTATAAATTAGAACCGAGATTTTTTTCGCCAGATTGATTGTCCTTATCCGTTCCATGGTTAAACTTTTACTCTTGTTTTCTTTTTCATCTTTAAGTATGTTTGTGATCCTATCTTATTTATTTATTTCAAATAATTGTATTTCATGTTTGGAATTGCAGCCGAGCGTCAAGGCGTTTTGGACTCTGATCCTTTTCAAGTTACTCACTGGGGATAACTGTATCAATAGGGCCTTTTATTAATTTAGTTTTTATGCATTTTTGTATGACATGGGTTCTCGAGGAAGACTATTATTTGATCTTAATGAACCCCCTGTCGAGGATAATGAAGATAGTGATGGTATTATGTTTCAGCTTCAGCAGGCTCAACCGTCTTCAAATTCCCATGCTTCAGACTTATTTCCAACATCAGGAGGTCCCCAAAGAATATTAAACAACCATGCATTTTCTCATGCATCTTCTGTATCAGGTTTTCAGCCTTTTATTCGGAGTAAACTTGGTTCTCATCCTGAAATGGGTGAAGAACAAAAGAAAATATCAGATCAAAATACAAAGACTGCACCATCATCTAAGTTAAGTAATGACGAGACTGCTGCACCAACATTGGTTTCAGGTTCTAAAGACACTCAATCAGTGGAAAGGGAAGAAGGAGAATGGTCTGATGCTGAGGGTTCTGCTGATATAAATGGAGGCAGCGTTTTGCATAAACAGTTAAAAGCTTCACAAGAGCAAGGCCTACTTTCTACTTCCTGTGATGTTTCCGAGAACAATTCTTGCTATACAAAAATTGCTGATAGTACTGTTGATAAAAGTAGTAATTATGTTCCTTCAACATTGGATCTGGAGCCAACTGATCGGAAAAGTAACAGTACCCTTAATACAGAAAGCAATGTTAAAGTTGATACATCCATGGATGGTGGTCAGGAAGAGACTGGGTTGCCCCCAAAACAAAGAGAAGTCAAGGGCATCGAAGCAAGTCATGCTCTAAAATGTGCTAATAACCCTGGAAAGAGGAAAATAGATCAACATCTAGAAGCCAAGCTTGGAAAGAAGCGTAATAGGCAGACAATGTTTCTTAATTTAGAAGATGTGAAGATGGCTGGTCCTATGAAAACGTCAACCCCTCGAAGGCAAACATTTCCACCTCCTATAACCACTCGCATTGTGAAGGAAGTTCATAATGCAACCCAAGTTACTGAACGTGTGGGGGAAAAACAGACTGTTAACAAAGACCAGAAACAAGGAGATGTTTCATATCATGAAGGAGGCATTTCAGCAGAATCTGGTGAATCAAAATTGGAATGTAATGGTGAGACGAGTTCTGGATTACTAACTCGGCCAAACAGGCCAAACAATGATGGAGATCTCCCAACAGAGGCAGCCTTACCACCAATTCCTAGACAGGGTTCATGGAAGATACCTACAGATTCAAGGTTGCAGAGGAATATGCAGGTCTCCAATAGGAAATCACCTCTAGCTAATCAAAGTTCTTCTGACCACAAGCAGGTAAGCAAGAAGCATATTCCTGCCAAGAAGCAAAATTCTGTTAGTACTCATCAAGACTCATCAGTTGAACGACTGATACGGGAGGTGACGAATGATAAGTTTTGGCATCACCCAGGTACAATTTTATTTCCTACTGGATTTATGAATTGCTATTATTTAGAATTTAAATTGTTTTTTCAATTTGGTGTTATTTCTTTCAAGCTTTTATCGATATACGGTTATGTTGAAAAGTTCCCATCTCTCTGAAGATTGGTTCGGCTGCTTCAAGTGGCAAACATTTTAATAGCATTTGAACTTGGATTAATGGAACTTGCAGCTGAACTTTGCTTTCTAGTTCTCATTATCAATTTCACTCCTGTACTATTTATTGTGTGTGTCTGGAGAAAGAAATTGGATTGTGAAAGTATGCTGATAGTATAATGGAACAACTGGTTGGGTTACCATTTACCTGCTTATTTTGATGCTATCTCCTATTCTTACTCAAATTGTGGGTTTAGTTGGACCCTCTAGCAGTGGCTATAAAGTGTGATGTATATCTTGCTCAGGCTCACACATAACAGACGGGATCCCACAGCTACATGAGGTGGGCCTTCCTCTAGGGAGCCTGTTGGATGGAAGGATATCCTTTCATATCGAGTATTGAACCACAAATGTTCTTTATGCTTGAGGGAAATCACCTTTCTTCTGTGAAAAATAAAATACGGTTAACAGGGTTATCAAATTGATTGCTAACTAAACTGTCTGTCCTATTCTTTTTTCTTGGCCTGGATATAGTTCACATTTTAGGCTTTCCATGTAGTTATATTCTTAAATTTTAGCTATGAAAAATATTGAAATATGATTTTGATCAGTACTGATATTATTGTTTACACAATAATATAACAACAATAACAACTTTCATTACTTAAGGCTATTTTCTTATTTTCATTTCTTTAAAATTTTATTGTGTGGACAGCTGCTGCTGCAATTTTGTTGTAACTTGTAATTTAGTGGTTGGACAATTGTCCTGTCTTAACAGATTTATTTATTTATTTGTATTTTGTGTTGGTCTCCCTGTTATGTAACTGAACTCATTATCGTGTATCAGAGGAAACTGAACTCCAATGTGTTCCTGGTCGGTTTGAATCTGTGGAAGAATACATCAGAGTGTTTGAACCTTTGTTATTTGAGGAATGTCGGGCTCAACTTTACAGTACGTGGGAGGAACTCTCCGAAACATTCTCAAGAGATACACATGTGATGGTTCGTGTCAAGAATATTGACAGGAGAGAAAGAGGTGCACATAGTTTTGTATGCACAGCCTTTTTTTTTGGTTTTGTTTTGTTTTAATTAGCTTCATAATTGGGACGAGAAAAAGTAGGTTTGAAATTTAAGTCTAGTAAAATGTTTGAACTTGGTTTGATATATTAAGGGTGCTTTGTGCCAGCAAGATTAGTTGTGCCACGATGCTCTATTCTTCTTGTGCTCTTAAGTTTTAATATTTTGTTATAATTATTGTTGTCATCAGTATTAGGAAGCTATCTTTAATTGTGCTTTGTAAGTCTTTACCTTGTGTGGAAGAGGGTAATCTTTTTCTTTTCTGGTTTGTCAAAGTGTGGTGTACTAAAATGAATATGGCATATGGAGTTAAAAACAAAGATAACTTCTTAGTATTCACACAGTAATCTCGTCACTAAAATTAGCTTATTTTCTTAGGATGGTATGATGTAGTAGTTCTTCCTGTGAACGAGTGCAAATGGTCATTCAAGGAGGGGGATGTGGCAGTTCTTTCCTGCCCCAGACCTGGATCAGGTTTGATAAAATATTCCTTTTAAGCTTATTATAAGTATCATGTCGGTACTTTTACATTATGGTTTTATTCTCATTAAAATTATTCTGAGCAGTGCGATCAAAGAGGAACAACACCATGTCTGTAGAGGATGATGAAGATCCTGAATCTGGTGGACGTGTGGCTGGAACTGTTCGACGGCACATTCCTATTGACACCCGTGACCCTCCAGGGGCTATCATTCATTTTTATGTTGGGGACTCGTATGATTCCAGTAGGTAGGTGTACTATCCAATTTCTTCAATTTGATGAGGGTTTTTTCCTTGCCATTTTATATTGTCTACGTTCTTGTATGAAATTAATATAACGTTTTGCAGAAGAATTAAGCAAAAGTTATTTATTTCTATTTTTATTTTTAAGGAGTGTATTGTCTTTTAAAGTGGTTCTAGTTCATATCTTTTTCAGTGTACAATCTTAGAGATATTGTGACTCTTTAAATGATATGTGCCTCAATGATCTTCTCGTTGGTATTGTCAAGTGTCTCTTCAATGTAGTTTTGAGTGGTGTCATATGATGCTACTCAGAATTATCTTCCAAATATTATAATCTCATGCAGCATTGCAAAAATATTAGCACTGCCTGCAGATAACTTCAAGTACCATTATTGTTACTCTGATAGCATGTTTAAGTTCCAGTCACTAAAAATAATTTAGACAATTTATTTGCCAATTTAAATCATTTACTTATTTTGGTATTGAAGTGGGTAAAAAGTAGGATTTTGGGTCTTGAGTATAAATAGGGTTTGCAAGGACTTGACAATTTAAATGGTGTAGAACAGCAGAAGATAAGTTAGGGTTTGATTTGCTCAAACTTTGCTTCAAGGGTGCATTTTTTAAAATTCTGAGTACATAGTTTGATTTACAATGAAGATATTGTTTGAAAGGAAGTAATTTACCCTGTAGATTATTTTATATATCACCCATAACTTGTATCACTTTTATTTCTATTAGTAAAAGTATTATTTCGTCATTGTTGGCATATTTTGAAGTATTATTATACCACTCTGTATCCTCGTCAGTAATCTCAATGCGTGGATTTGATGATGTGGATTTCTTATCATTAGGGGCATTGTTGTTTCCTAGCCATAAAAAGAGGCTATTCATTTCCCCCCAAAAAAACTTATTTTCTTCAGAACCTTTATGGGGAGGGCACTCCTAAAAGTCAACCTTATTTCCTAAAAAAATGTTCTTATAATATTTCTTTGATTTTTTATTTTATTATTGTTTTTGAATAGCAGGACTGAAGAAGATCACATACTTAGAAAACTTCAGACAAAGAATGTTTGGTTTTTAACAGTGCTTGGTTCTCTTGCAACCACCCAGCGAGAGTATGTTGCCCTGCATGCATTTCGTCGGCTCAATATGCAGGTATGGGTTGAAATTTGTTTGGATTAAAAGTCACCTTGTATTTCCCTTTAAATTATTTTCATTACTAATTGTGCCTACATGTATTAGATGCAATCTTCAATCCTTCAGCCTAATCCTGAGCAATTTCCAAAGTACGAGCAACAGTCGCCTGCTATGCCTGAGTGTTTCACACAAAATTTTGTTGAGTATCTGCATAGAACCTTCAACGGACCCCAGCTATCTGCAATCCAGTGGGCAGCAACACATACAGCTGCTGGTACGAGCAGCGGGACAGCCAAGAGGCAAGAACCATGGCCTTTTACGCTCGTACAAGGTCCTCCTGGGACAGGTAAGACACATACAGTTTGGGGAATGCTAAATGTTATCCATTTGGTTCAGTATCAGCATTACTATACTTCTCTGCTCAAGAAACTAGCACCAGAAAGCTATAAACAAGCTCATGAAAGCAGCTCAGATAATATCATTACTGGATCCATTGATGAGGTACTCCAAAACATGGACCAGAATCTTTACCGCACTCTTCCCACGTTGTGTCCTAAACCTAGAATGCTAGTTTGTGCACCTTCTAATGCTGCAACAGATGAGCTTCTTGCTCGTGTTCTTGATCGTGGATTTATTGATGGGGAAATGAAGGTTTATCGACCTGATGTGGCTCGAGTTGGTGTAGATTCACAAACTCGTGCGGCCCAAGCAGTTTCTGTTGAGCGTAGAACAGAACAACTTTTGGTCAAAAGTCGAGATGAAGTCTTAAGATGGATGCACCAGCTAAAAGTTCGTGAAACTCAATATTCTCAGCAAATCAGTAATCTTCAGAGAGAACTCAATGTTGCTGCTGCTGCTGTTCGTTCTCAAGGATCCGTTGGTGTTGACCCTGATGTTCTGGTGGCTCGTGACCAAAATCGAGATGCATTATTGCAACATCTTGCTGCTGTAATAGAAGGTAGGGATAAAATTCTAGTTGAGATGTCACGCCTCCTTATTTTAGAAGGCAGGTATCGATCTAACAGTAATTTCAATATGGAGGATGCACGAGCTAGTCTTGAGGCTAGTTTTGCCAATGAGGCTGAGATAGTTTTCACTACAGTATCAAGCAGTGGTCGAAAATTGTTTTCTCGACTTTCTCATGGTTTTGACATGGTAGTCATTGATGAGGCAGCCCAAGCCAGTGAAGTAGCTGTTCTTCCACCGCTTTCTCTTGGTGCAGCAAGGTGTGTGCTTGTTGGGGATCCCCAACAGCTCCCTGCCACGGTTATCAGTAAAGCAGCAGGAACATTATTGTACAGTAGAAGTCTCTTCGAAAGATTCCAGCTAGCAGGATGTCCCACTATGTTGTTATCTGTGCAGTACAGAATGCATCCTCAAATACGTGATTTCCCTTCAAGGTACTTCTACCAAGGGCGCCTTACTGACAGTGAAAGTGTTGCTAATTTACCTGATGAGACATATTACAAAGACCCTTTACTTAGACCATACACTTTCTTTGATATTACACATGGACGGGAATCTCATAGAGGGGGCTCTGTTTCCTATCAAAATATTCATGAAGCACAATTTTGTCTTCGTTTGTATGAATATCTACAGAAAACTGTGAAGTCATTAGGCGTAGGTAAAGTTTCAATTGGTATAATAACACCATACAAGCTCCAATTGAAGTGCCTCCAACGCGAGTTTGAGGAGGTTCTGAACTCTGAAGAAGGAAAGGATCTATATATTAATACTGTAGATGCTTTTCAAGGTCAAGAGAGGGATGTGATTATCATGTCTTGTGTGCGTGCCTCCAACCATGGTGTTGGATTTGTTGCAGATATCCGTCGAATGAATGTAGCACTGACCCGTGCAAGGAGGGCTCTCTGGGTATGCTTCTAATTTTTCTCTTTTGAGTCTCTCACACCTACATAGATACACTATTATCTGACAATTTGAATCCTCTGATACTGATCTTATGTTAAACCAGGTCATGGGCAATGCTAATGCTTTGATGCAGTCTGATGATTGGGCTGCGTTAATCACTGATGCAAGGGCAAGGAGCTGTTACATGGACATGGAATCGCTTCCCAAGGACTTTCTCGGACAGAAGGGATCTATTCAATCTGCTTTGCCAGGGAAGATCTCTTCCAATATTAGGGGTGTGAGATCAGCTCTTCCAAGACATAGGACTCTGGATATGCATGTGGAGTCGAGGTCTGGAACACCATCAGAAGATGATGAGAAATCAAACTCTTCGATTATCACCAGGAACGGAAATTACCGGCCTTCTAAGGCTGCTGTAGAGAATTCATCAGATGACTTCGATCAGTCAGGTGACAAATTGAGAGATACTTGGCAATATGGTATACCGAAAAGGCAGAGTTCTGCTGGGATTGTTGGGAAGAGAGAAACTTAATCATGGCTTTTAAATTGGTTTTAATGGTTCAGAGGAAACCCGTCGGTTAATTTCGTGTGCATCCTTGTGATGCTCAGCTTTTGAAGCCTACTTGCATGGGAGCCCGAGCAGTGTCTGAGTAATGACATAGGTTGCACAGCATCTGCAGACATCTGTTCTTGGAGGATCCATTCCTTTGATTTAAATGGATCCCTTTGGGTTACCATCATACCGAAAGGTGAGCATGCAATTCGAGACATCTGTTCTTGGGGGATCCATTTCCTCACATTGTGTATGCATGTTCAGGAATCAAGTTGTGGGCATCGGAATCTTCCATCATGAGAACTTGAGAGCTATAATATGGGCTTGGATTGGAAATTGAATTGGGTGCATGTGGTCAGTAGAATTACCGGCCTCAATTGCTGTTGGAGTTGGGGGGTGGCTCGGCGGCACTCCCGTGGAAATGGAGATTGACTCGCTGGCGTGCTGGCGGAGGTAAATTCACATGTAAAAGATGCTCAATACATTGTTTTGGACAATAAATGCTCTGCATAAAGATGACATTTGACAGGCAAGTAAGAAAGTGAAGGGTTTCAATCTTGTTTGTTCTCTCTCTGAGGAGATGTACTTCTCTCAACCCTTCATCTGGGAGCTAGAATTATATGGGCTGCAGCAGCTGGGAATACATAAAAATTGTACAGAAACCAATGGGGAGTACAGGTTGTGATTGAGGCCGTCAAAATTTTGAATTGCGTTAATGCCAAATTGACTTGTACATACCCATACCCCTTCATTTGAAATTATAGTAATTCTTTGTCGCAGTTGTCTTTTTCTTCCCAATTCTCAACTTCACTGCAGTACACTAATTGATGCGGTGCCTGCCACATTTAATTAATATTGTACCAGTTTGTGCCGTTGTTCTTTGAACACACACACCACATGGGAGATGAGATGGGGCTGTAATTGTGAGGTTTTCAAGAAGAACCGGTGGACTGTGTTTTCTTTTTGGAAGCTCGTATTTGCTAAGTATTGAATTGAATTCTGTGGACTAATAATGTTCTGTTTCGTTTATGCTCATATCTTGTCTTGAAACAAGCATCTTTACTCCAGACAGAAAGAAAGCGATAAAAACGATGCTGAAAGTTGATATTGTTCAACTTTGAAATCATTCTATAAAAGGCAGAAAATTACCATTCTTTCGCATGCTTCATGAGAATTGAAAGTCGCCACTTTCTATTTAGGGAACCGGAATCAGTAACCCACGTTTTTTAATAGGATCCATGGGAAGTATATTCACCTTGAGAATCTATAAAATTAATGTGAATTCTTTTTTACTCTATTTATTCCTTTTCCCGATTCTTTTTATTCATTATTTGTCCCAGAATATGATTCAAATTTCAAAGTTTCAAGTTAATGTTTGATACTAGAATCTTTATTCTAAAAGTAAGTCGAGATCTAATATAGATATTATTTATTAATTAAGTCCACGAAACATTCGGTTCACTAAAATTAAATTAGTGATCCTAATCTATTTTCTTTTTCATGATAAAGTAAACACACCGAGGAACATAAATAGTAATTATCATGAACAAATATGGTAACATGAACAGAGTTGTTTTTAATTAACTAGACATCTAAGTTCCCGAATACCTTAATTTTGATCCTTATGAGGTCGTCAAATGAATGTAGAAGTTTCGAACATTTCTGTAGAGCATTCAGATAAAAGAAAGTTTCTACACCATCATCAAAGATTTTACAAGTCTTAGCCCGTCCACATTAATTCAGTTTTTCTCTCTTTAGTACTAAACAAGAATTTCCAGCAAAATTATCCAGAGACACTCGAATACGATCGCTGCAGCTGAGTTCTGAGAAGAAACGGAGGAATTCATTCGAAGTCCTCGCAGATTAAAGAGAGTTTTCCCGTCTTGAAGAGTTGAATTTACCAAGTAGAGCAGGTGATCAAACGGTACCGACAAAAATTCGAAGGGGGTGCAATAATTTTCCCCACAATTCCTCAGAGTCCGCTCTTAACTGATTATACCCTTTTTCTCTCTTCAGCTACTTTTGTATGGTTCCTTGGGTTTCGCTCTCGGAAGCTCCAAGGGGGTTGCTCTTTCCGCCAAGCCCCCTTTCCAGTCACCTGGTAATTTCTTTATTGAATGATTAGAACTACTAATTGCAGATGAGTAGCTTCTCTTGGCCATTTATATATCAGATTAGTCTTGCGTTTATGAGGATGCTTGAATTGGGTCCAAAATCCTTGTGTTTCATCGGCCTGTAGTTTTTTCTTTCTTGTTGACAGTCTTAAGTATTAAATCGATATCGGAAGGAATGAACAATTTAGTCCTGTATGTGTGGATAAGTGAAGCGATGAGTATTATGCTGATTCTATTGGGTGAAGCGGGAAGCAGCTCTATACTAGTTCTGAATGTCATCTCAGAACATGGAGGTGGTTAGATTAGATACCAGTCATTCTTTTTTCTTAATATTTGATTTTGACTTTCCATCTCCTGTACTGGAAAAGGAGAATTGATAAGTTCTTCATGAGATTGATGTTGGAAAACTGGCAGCATAACCCACCACTCGTCTGCTCTTCAAATGAAAGTAAATCTCTCCATGTTGCATACAGGGAAGACATTCTTAACCCAATTTTTGGGAGAATGAGAATGACATTTTGTCAGGATTTAAGTTTACTTTTCAAAGAAATGGTGAAATTGAGGAGTTTTTGAGATGTTTAGGGTAATACTGGATATTAGTGGTTGAGAATATGAATATCTGAATCCATATGATTTATATTCTTGATTGTTGAAAATAAGTCACAAAGAGAGAAGTTCAAGCTGTACTAGAAGAAAACATTTTCATGATTCTTATTAAACAGGGGAGCTTAAGTAACTTGAAATCGGTAAGTGTATCGATCCTCACATTGGATCTTACAAGCTATTAGTCCTGGGTGGTGATCTCCCTTCTTCTTGTGCATCTTAGACGCATCTTTTAATATCTTTGCTTTAAATTAATTCATGCATCTTTTTACTACATCCATAAGTATGCTGTTGAGAAACAACCCATATGCTCTCTACTTGAAATCAAGAAATTCTCTTTGTTGGGTAGTTTGAATTACAAAAATGTGGCAGAAACTTAGGAGGTTAGAAGAGAACCAAACAAGACATGACATGATGGTGTTGCTTAGTTCTGAAATTGTTTTTTGGCCTTCAGGTGCATAATTCAAAGACGATGAGTTCGAATTTAGAGATACCTCCTTCAAATGAGTGTGAGCAAATTATATTGTCTGAAGAACATCATTCGAAGGTATTTCTCAGTTATATTGTCCTAACTGTTGACGGCTGCTATTCTAGAGAATAGGAAGGTAAAAATGCTGCCAATTTTTGTATTGAAAGTTGCTCAACTGTTATAGTTTATTATTTACAGATTTGTGAGGTGCGAAGGCTTTTAGGGCCGTTGACGGGAAAATTATCTATTTACTGTTCAGATTCATCCATTTCAAGATATTTAAGGTCAAGAAACTGGAATGTGGAGAAGGCAACTAAAATGCTGAAAGCATCCTTGAAGTGGAGGTCAGAATACAAGCCAGAAGAAATTCAATGGGTATTTGACTGCCTGCTTTTTTTTTCGAGTGAACTCATGGCCACGAGCCCAAAATGATCTTTTTCTGATTTTGAATTTAATCCTGAAGCGATGGCGTTTATGGATTTAATAGTTGGATCTGTATTGCAGGAGGAGGTTGCTCATGAAGCTGAGACAGGGAAAGTTTATCTTGCGAACTATGGCGACCGACATGGAAGAACGATTCTAGTCATGCGACCTTGTCGCCAGGTTTCATTTGCATTATGCAGTACTAACAGAAATCTACTGGACAACTTATTGAAGATACTTTAACCTTATTTTGAAGCTTTTATTGCTCGTAGCTATTTTTGAAACAAGTGGGGGAGAAAAAGCCGTACTGAGACTCTCTGCAACATTAATTCTTCTTTATGGAGATGCTTTTCATTTACATGGATGAAATGGTTAAACTAGGATACTTTAAATTGGATCTCTATACACAAGTAAAAGACTTGAGTTCCTATAGATATAGCTTCCCAACAGTAAGTTTAACGATTTCGTGTTTTCTTAACCACAGAACACGAAAGCGGTAGAAGGACAGATTAGGTACTTGGTGTATTGCATCGAGAGTGCCATTTTGAATCTGCCACAAGACCAGGAGAGCATAATTTGGCTGGTTGATTTCAAGGATTTTGCCCTGCCACATATTTCACTGAAAACAACAAAGGAGCTTGCACATATTTTACAAGATTTTTATCCCGAACGCCTCGAATTGGCAATCCTATACGATGCGCCAAAGTTTTTTGAGCCCTTCTGGATGGTATAATTCATTCTTACTGTGATTTATGGCCCATAGGAGTACTATTGCAGTAGTACACTGCCATTTTCTGTTTTCCTTGAAGCAATTATTTGCTATTTACGCTGCTGGACGACGACGTTCTGTTCCATTTACAGGTTGTAAAGCCTTTCCTGGAGACAAAAACTGCCAACAAAGTGAAATTCGTTTACTCCAACGACGTAAACACGAAGAAAATAATGGAGGATTTGTTTGATATGGACCTGCTCGAGTCTGCTTTTGGTGGAAACAACAACGCAGGTTTCGACATAACCAAATACGCTGAGATGATGAGAGAAGATGATGAGCGGACAGGGTGTTTCTGGTCCGGGATAAATCCCACGGTGCCTGTCTGGGAAAAAGCTCAGAGTAGCAGTAATGTAGTTGATTTGAAAACCTCAAACTCTTGTTCTGAACTTTGAGACAATGAGAGAACTAGAAATGCAGATGGCAGCTGAGGCTGCTGAATACAGTCCCATACCAAACTCAAAACTGTGTATTAGTTTCCCTGTTGAGCAAAACGAAGCGTTTTGTATTTCTCTATCATGTAACAATCAGCTATGTCCCATTTTTTTTGGACATTATTAGAGCAGGACTTATTCTTCTTGAATGTTGCCTAAGAAATTTGTCTATTATTATGTATATGACATATGACAATGACATTGAATGCCATGCCACTATACTTTAATCTAAATATGTTAGTGCAGTTAGTTACTAACTTTGTTAAGTCAATAATTTATTTTAAATATATAATTTATTTCAATTTCAACTAGTGTGGGCATTTAAGGCATCCTTCCAAAGCCCAAGGATAGCGACTTCCCAACGACGATCAGACTACCATTTTTTACTAAACAGTCGATATCTTAACCGTTGAGTTATGCTCGTTTCGACATTATAATCGTCCGTTTATTATTCGAATAATTTTCATGTCAATATCAAAATGTTCCATAAAGTTTATGTTACGTTATAGGAAACAATTATTTGTCAAATAGCATAAGAAAATAAATGTTATTTACAGCTCTTTAATGCAAGATTAATGGAAGTACGATAGATTAAGATGGATTAATTGAGATCGAAAATTTGTTTAATTTGTCTCAATAATTGTGGTTGGGACAAAGGAAAAGGCAGTTGCAGATATTCTTAGGCCCAAAGCAAACCACTTTGGTTGAGAATTTCCATTTTTATTTAATTCAAGTCTTTATTTTTCCCCATTTTTTTTAAGAATTGTGCAGAAGAAAATAATTGGAATCTGAAGTCTCAACTTCAAGTGAGCTGTTTCCCCATGTGTGGGTTTCAAAGTGTATTTAAGTATAAATGTACCACTAATTCAGTGGACCTTATATTTCTCCTTAATTCCCCAATTATTATTATTATTCTATTTAATTTTACTTAGATTAACGAAATGGATTAAAGTTACAATATTGAGTTAAACTCCAAATTGTAAGAAGATTAAGAATTTAAAAAAAAAAAAATGGTACCTTTTTTGGTTTGGTTTCAGTAAATCAAGAAATTTACTGGAACGTGAGTGGGGCATGAGTACCCCATGTTCCCCGTCGAGCTCTGCACAATAATTTAAAAATCCATTAAATGATTTTCGAAGTAAAACTACAAATAATTTGATTTCTGAAAGAAATTGACAGGCTGACGTGGATTCCCTTAATTTTATGCAGACGAGTCACTGTCGATTGTAATGGACGGACCAGATTCGTTCCTGGTTTGCTGGCTGCCCTCTCTTCTCTTTTATCACCTCCTCCTTCAGTTCTTCTCCATCTCCTCCTGCGAAAACCAGAACCGGTTTTTGTGATTCTGGTTTTGCGATTACAGGAAACAGAATCAAAGAAGGGAGAAAAATAATATGTCTCTGGGCAAGAGGTCGCGTCCGCCGATGAAAAAGACGGCGAGCATGACGGAGATCACCTTCGATCTGGGCGGCTCCGCCGCGCCCGCCGAGCAATTACCTCCGCCGCCGCTCACGAATATGATCGGATCAATGGTTTCCCCCAGAAACCACAGAAGGCATTCCGTCGATCTACAGGATTCCGCTAATTTCCTCGCGGCTTGCTCTCTCTGCACCCGCCCTCTAGTCCCGGGCCGTGATATTTACATGTACAGGTAAATTAAAGTTTTAGTGAAATCCAATTAAATCGTTTCGTTTTTTAGGGTTTGTTTTGGTTGGGGCTGAAATTGAAGGCGAAGGGGCTCTGTTTTTAGGGGGGACAGGGGATTTTGTAGCGACGAATGCAGGCAGAAGCAAATGAAGCAAGATGAGAGAATGGAGAAGTGCAGTATAGCATCAAAAAAAGCAGCGGCGGCGGCGGCGGCGGGTTCTACGAAGGCCGGCGTTCCACCTCAGATCTCCGGCAAAGGCGAGACCGTCGCGGCTTCATAACCATTCATTCATGCCTCAGTCTCTGAAATTAAGTGTTATCTATCTAAGAATTAAGAAATATTCCCACAAATTGGAATTGTGTGTCGTTCTTAATTTTCTTCATTGGCGGTTATTGTGTGGGTGGGAATTTGAATTTGGGATTAATTACTTTCAGCAAATTAAGATTAAGATATCATATCATATGAACAACAAAAGCTGAGGGATCCATTTTGATGCCTTGTTCTCTTATTCTCTCTGTTAATCTCTCTCTCTCTCTCTCTCTCTCTCTCTCTCTCTCTCTCTCTCTTTTTTTTTTGAATTTTTAGATCCATTTTCCAAACTCGAAATCCACAAAAATTCGGGAAAAAAAAAATCAGTCTCTCATTTGAAGTGAGCAAGCTAGATTGCTTGCGGCTGCGGCAGTCAACTGTTAAATATATAATGAAGGAATTAGGAGACGGCTCATGTCAAAGAAGAACCATTTCCACTTGTTCCAGATATGGTAACAAAACAATACGTTACAAAATTTAAAATAATGCTATTTTTACTAGAATACAAATTATAAATTACAAAATTTTCTTATTTCTAGTAAATTGTAAATTTATTAACTTAAAGTGTTAATACTATTTTTAATTAAAATAATAATATATTTTATTGATGGTAAATATTTGTTACTATAATAATTTATTTAATATTGATAAATAAAGATTAAATTAAATTAAAATTACATCAGTTTAAAAAGATTGATATAATTTTCATTACAAGAACTACCATTAGTTTCATTTCTATAATATGTAATGAATTCTATTTAACAATTCTATTTATAATTTTGCTATTTAATAATAGCAAAATTAAATTAAATAATCAATAAATAAAAAGAAATTTATAACATTTTATAATAAAATCATCCGTTTATTTTTTTTATTTGAAACAAATTATTAGTGTTAAACGATCATTATTAAAAAGTTATGAGTTCCGTTGAAAGAAATTAGAGAGAAAAAGTAAGAATTGTAAAGTAATTATTGAAAAAATGTCTGCCCACATAATAAAGAATGAGAATTTGGCTCGTGAAACTACAATGAAAGAGATAAATGAATTTGAATTGCCTATTAATGTCAAGGAAGGTGTCTTTCAAGTTTGATACAAATCTACTAGTTAATTTTCTTGTGAGTAAACATGAATTAAAATTTTCATTCTCATCTCATTCAACTTTTATTTTTTTTTAAAAGAATTTCATTAGTTGATCTAAATTAGATTCAAAGTTTTTTTTTCTTTATAATTAAATACGAGGATAAAAAGTTAAAACTTCAAAACTCTTAAAAAAATAAAAAATACCTTAATCGTTAAGTTAAACTTTTATTAACAACAGGAGGTGTTGATTGAATAGAGGAGGGGAATCTGAAGCCTGGTCAGCATTGCATGGATTGGGGCCCATCTGGCATGACAATAACATAAGACAATATATATTGCTCAAATAGGAGGGAAGATATTCACTTGGAAAGCAATCTTGGCTTTTAATTTAATTGTCACATACCTCGCCACCACATATATTGTATAATATATTTCTATTCTATTTCTGTATATTATATTAATTATTCAACAGAAAAAAAAAAAAAAATCTGAGAGAAGTATTCCAGTGCTGTGTCTTCCATCAGGTGCGCGCTTCCACGTGATTTAACAAATTCCTGACTCTACAGATCCATATAATAATATTTATTATTATTTTTCTTTTTGAAATATAATAATATTTATTATTATTAATTCTGTTACTCTAATTGTTTCATGATATAAAGCTTAGCATATAATTGATATGCTAATTAAAATATTTTGTGTGATTTCTGACAAATTCTTTTATAATATTACATTATACATACAATATAAGAAAAAAACATGCAACTTAGGACCATTCAACTATGTTCAAATTAATTAGGTATACAATTTTCCAATTTTAACTTAATTTGAAACTTATTTACTTTGTCATTGAGTTTTTCTATTCCGAAAAAAATTACAAATTAATCTCTCCTCAATAGACTTTAGAACTTTTAAAATGTCTAATAAATCCTCAAATTTTCACTCTTTTTTTAATAGATTATGAATTTGTTAGAAAATTTTAAAATTTACAGAAGTATTAGACATAAAATTAAAAAGTCAGGTTCTCATTAAATACAAAAATTAATTTTATATTTTAACTAATTCCTCACGTCAAAAATTTATTAGACACAAATTTAAAATTCGAAGAAACTTATTAAAGTTATTTTAAATCGGTCCGGCACAACTCTAAGAATAGGGATTAAACTTCTAATTCAGCCGAGAAGAGATACTCGAGGTACGTTTCTTAGAGTTCATCAATGCTATGAGATAATTTATTTTTATAATCGATAAAAATTTCTCATTTTTTGCAATATTAAAAATTATTTCTTATTTTATACCGTTCTGTGAGCACTGAGTACCCTATATTATTATTATTTTTTATTTATAAATACTAAATTATCAGTTCTTATCATACTAGAGAAGCATTGAAATCTTAATATTAAATTGAGTCCAATCTCGATAGGGTGTCGATTCATATTTTTATCGACCTTGAAACACTACAATATTACTTTCTTTCAAATATTTTGGATTGGGATTAGAAGAGTAAGAATTGTTTAAGACCATATGATATGGCTCAAAATTTATAGTCTAACAAGAAAAAAATGTTCTTTTGGATTGAAAATCTTGAAAAATCCTGATGTGTATCTTTATATGGTCATACAGGGAGGACCATATTTCTTACTTTATTTTTCCAATAAAAGGTTTTGTTTAATTTATTAAACATCATTAGAGAACAAAATTGCTATATAATAAAGTTTATTGGTAGAAATTTGAACCACAATATTAGTTGGAGTATATAAATTTATTTTACCAAACATCATCAGGGAGCAAAATTGCTCTATAATAAAGTTTATTAGTAGAAATTTCAACCACAACTTTTTAACTGAGATATATGTTAACTAGTTCAACTATATTTAGGATGCCATAAAGATATAAGCAGATGTAGGCTGACTAGTAAAAAATGTTTAATTTTTATTAGACAAAAACGAATTTAATAATTTTAAAAGTTAAACGATAATAACTATGTTATTCTTATAATTTTCTTAAATAAGATGTAAATATTTGATTAAAATAACAATAAAAAATTTAAAATTTAGAGTTTTCGCGTGGTTTGATTTGATTTCGTACGTTGAAATTTGTTTCTTTTGTACTTTTTTTTTGGTATAGTTGATGTCCCGTGAAGATTTATAGCCCCGACCTTAATAAAAGAAACAAGATGTCTAAATTAATATTCCATTTTAGTCTCTCTGCTAATTGAAATTTAGTTAAAGAAATTAAATATTCGTAATAATTAAGAAATTGTAAACTTGTAAGGAAAGTAATTCTTACATATTTCTGGCATAGTGGCATCTAAGTTGATGAATGGACATGGCATGCATGGCAAGTTGTACAAGTGGGGTCCACTCGACTATGATTTATAATATTTGATATATTATATTCTTTTTTAACATAACGTCACTGCAAGAAATATTACTTTCTATAACTTTTAAATATAACATTTTATAAAAACAGCTATAAAAAACTATGTGAAAAAGGCACGCGATAACTAATTCTTCATATTCAACTCATAATTCGTGTTGATATTGATGGATGGAAGAGTCGGCACATATTTAAATGAAAATTTATATTATTAAAGGATACTATTTATGAAACAAAATCGAATTTTAATACCATAAAAGTCCATAATTATTTAATTCTTAGAATTTCAACTCAATTATAATACCCTATTGTATTAAATCAATTTTTGGAGGCGTATCTACTTTTAAAATGTCTCATATAATTTGGTAAAAAAAAGGAAAAAAAGTCTCATATAATGTATTTTTATATAGACATATTTATTTAATAAATAATTAAATTATTCTTCAATGATTATTGAAATGTATTCAGTAAAATATTGAACCATAACACATAAATATGAACATAAAGTATCATATTTGGTTTAATGAAGTATACAAATTAATATTATAAATTAGAATTACATGAATAACCGAATTGATATATTGTATTAGTAATTTAAAAATTAATGGTTTGAATAATATGCTTCGATAATTATATTGTCATATTCCATACTTTTCGGGTAGAATTTTGAAAAATAAATATTTTTTTTATTAATTAGTATGCACAAATATTGCAAAAAGTGAAGTCCAATTTTGTGGTTAAAAATATATATCCTACATAATATTTATGATGATATTCTCATTTAGAAAAATAAAGTATGAAATGACATGCAATAGTAAAAAGGTCAATGATTATATATATTTGATTTAACTATAAATTCTATCTAGTATCCACTTGTACTCGAAGGAAAAAAAAAAAGTCTAACTAATGTATTTTACTATTTTTCGTGTCTAAATAACTATATACTCACATATGTATAGGTTATAAATTATTTAACCAATCAATATTAATAAATAAATTAATAATAATGATCATTGGTTCCGATTTTCTTTTCGAATTTACGATAGGTTAAATATATACTTTAGTCTATGATTTTGAGTTTATCAATTTACTTTATATCATTTAAAAATTTCAATTTAATCTTTCGTGTTTAATATAAGTATATATTTTTGTGAATGAATGTTCGATGTGATCGTCTGTTACTTCATCAATTGACCAAAACTTAGAGGAGCAACTATACTCTCTAGAATTTTTTTAAAAAACGAATAAAAAAAACTACACTGCCTAGAACAGAAATTTCTAACAAATTACCAGAAATAACTATAATTTTTTGGGTTAAGTTTTAAAATAATGACATTTTAAAAAGAAATTACAAAAATAATGGTAATTTAAAAATAATAACTAAATAAATGTAAATTAAATAAATAAACACAAAAGTAACTTAGGGTTTTTAAACTATTGACAAAAATAGGTTAGGTCAAAGGAGGGGTCAAAACTCGCATACAATGTACGCTACGGGAACTTCCACATATTTTCCTTTTTTTTTTCGCTGAAGTCGCAATCGTTGGCTACACGTGGAGCCACGTCAAACCGAAGTCGGCTGCGACCTTCGGTGAAATCGCGGCCTAAGATCGCGATTTCGTCCTAAATCGCAGTCGACGGCCGCGATTTCGTGAAATCTAGCTGCGATTTACCTACCCTATTTTTGGAATTAGTTTGGATCCTAACCTACCTTTCTCATTTGTTTTTAAAAAGTAATTATTTAAAAAAAAAATCCTAACTTTTCCTTATCTTAGATGACTTAATTTTGACTTTTCCAATCTATAATAGATGAAATAAGAGAGTTGGAAGTGAAATACGAAATTTTTACTTACTATATATCATCATGTCTCTAAGCTTATCGTGAGCTACATGTACCATTCACCAGCGAAGAAATTACAAAAATTGAAAAACACTCCCTCCAACAATAGATTTAACCTTGATAACATAATTATAATAATCCGAAAGAAAAATTACAAATAAATAACATCACATTGTTTAAAATAGTACATGGAAGAATAGTAATTTATCTCATGTTAAGTTTTTGATGTTCTCAAGGGTGGATTGACGACAATCGTCTCGATAGGCAGAACACTGAATTGGCGAAGCAAATGCAAATGTTGAACTGTCGTTTCTTGATCTCCGTCTCCACCGACGCTCAGCTGTTGAGCAATCTCTTGTTTTATTACAATTTACAACACAGCGACAGCGCACAGTTGGATTTTCTTTTTCAGGTTCGTAATGTGTGTTTTGTGTGGGTAGGGGAGCCTCTTGTTTGTGTTTTTTCTGTCCTTGATTTCCCCAATTCCCCACTTCACAACTCATCGTGACATCAACACGCGATCCTTTTGTACTCCATTACTGTTCTTATTGGATTCCTTCCGTTCTTAATTGTCTGCAACTGGGTATTTCTTAATTTTGCTAGCAACCCCCCATTGCACAGTTGGGGCTTTTTCATTGTCCCATTACAAAACAAAAACATTGGTTGAATTAAGGGCCGCATCTGTTTTAACGGGTCAAATCCTAAAATGCAAGATTAAACCGCCTCTGAATTGTTTCAATTCCCTTTTTCATTTGACTATACATGAATATGTGGAGAACAAGAGAATTTAACCATGAATGATGCGCTATCTGTCTCTGATATTCTTTGTTTCTTGTTTTGACTGGAGAATATATGATACAATGCCACTTTCCCATTTTACACCCCCTCACACTTTTTTTTTCCTTTTCTTTTTGGTATTGGGATGGAGTTGACTCCACCATCACCATCACCGTCACATCACCATTCATCCCACTACTGATACACTCACACTGTGTGCGTTGAGCTCTGTATGTCCCAGTTTGGTGAGTGCGTCTTATCTTGTTTCATATTATACAACCAAGTCCCTAAATTGTGTTTCTTTTGCTTTGTTCAAGCTAAGCTTCGTCCATCATCTTTGGATTACAAGATGAGACTGCATCTGCAACTGTCAGGAAGATGTTGTCTTGGCCTATCAAATCTGGAAACTTGGACGCGTGAAGCTTGTGGATCACCACGGGCCCTGGATTTGCCAGAATCAGCTGTTTCCATTCACAAACATTGCTTCTGGTAAGCCCATTTTACTTCATGATGTTAAATTAGTTGTGATGATTCTGTGAAAGGTGAAGATTTTCTTACCTGAATTTCTCTTTTCTTGAGGCTCCCATTTAGCTCTTCCAAAGCATGTATGCCACTCGTGTCTATGTCAGTAACAGCTTCAACATAAAACACAAACAGAAATAATTAGTTTAATTGGCCCAACAGAGCCACAGATGTTTTCTCCACCGTCAATAATTGGATTCAAAATGGTTTAAAACAGATACTTACGTGACATTTCAACTACCAGAAACTGGATTCTGTTCTGGTATGACTTTTTAGTCAATTCTTCCTCATCAGCCAGCCATCTCAATATCCTGTAAAGAAGAAATTGAACAAACTCATTTCTGAATGCTAACATGTTGCTTTTTAAGTTGTATTCTCTTAAATAGCTAATTTAGGAACAGCAAAGATAGATGAAAATAAGTTAAAAAAAGACAAAGTTTGGCTATATGATGGGACTTTCATCTATTTATACCTCTCCTTAATGTAATTCGAGTTGGAAAAGTAAATTGCTGAATCAACTCTCACAATCAAAAGGCCAGAGACTTTGATTGCTTCGGGATATTGCTGTATGTTTCGGTAAACAGACGTCCTGGGGATATTTCCAAGAATTGCAGTCCTTGGTCTGGTAACCTGTAGAAGGATTTTGGCGAAGGAAATGGAGACCTACAAAAAGGAAGAGAGAAAAACCAAATAACTAGGAAGTTAGTTACAAAGAATATGTTTGATTTTCAGGAGTTTAAGGTGAAGGGGAGGTAGGTAGGTATCAGTTAGTTACCGCAATTAGAAGGCCTATCTCAACAGAGAAAAATATGACACCGAGGAAGGCTCCCATACAAGCAACAAAATCAAATTTATCAATCTTCCATATCAACAACGCTGCGTGCAAGTCAACTAGATTGATCACAGCGTTTATGATGATAGCAGACAGAATCGCGTTTGGAGTGTATTTGAAAAGTGGGGTGAGGAATTCCAGAGTTAGGAATACTACAATGGACATCACAATGTTGGAAACTGTAGTTTGGCAGCCAGCCATGTAATTTACGGCTGATCGAGAGAACGAACCTGCAGGCAACCATATAAACACAATCACTTGACATGATAATTGGAAGTCTAACAAGTCTCTTATTCTGATACATTTTCCTCTCTCTTTTCTCACCTGTTGCTACATAGCAGGAAGTCATTGAGCCAACAACATTCATGAACCCCATTGCCACCATTTCCTTGTTCCCATCAATTTGATAGTCCTTCATTGAAGCAAACGTTCTTCCTATAGCAATGGCTTCCTAAAAATCCAAACAAAAGATTCAGAGTCTTGAACACAAAAAATGACAACTAAACTTTCTTCCAACAGCAGAATAGTTTTAGAGTAGGCTCACCGTCAATGCTATCATGCCCGCCACGACACCGATCTTAAACCCTTTTACAAGGTATTCACCTGAGAAATATAATTCTTTCACAGATGGGGGATTGATTCCTTGGTCTATGTGTTTCACCTTTACAAGTCAGAAAAATATAAACATGAGAAAAGAGAAGTAAAAAGATCAACCCTGGCAGTTGAAAGCGCCTGCGATGGTGGTAATACAATATGAACGAAAATACTTACAATTGCAACTCCTTCCTTCTCTGCATGAGTAATGTAAACCAAAAGGGTTGACAGAACAACAGATGTCAGGGGAGCAACTGCAGGCACCCAAAAGAGCCTCTTGTTCTTCTTTCCCTGTTCCATAACAATGAAAGCAATAATAAGAGAAGGGAGAGAAGAAAAATGGATGAGTTTTTCATATGATTGGTGATAGAAGTAAGGGACTTTACAACGAATTTTGCAAATAGAAGAAAGAAAAGAAAGGTTGCTGCAATGACTATTGTCTGCCAGTTCCACTGTGACAAAGTAAACAATGTTACAGTGAGTAAGGTAAATTTGCAAACGCTAACAGTTTTTTCATTTTACAATCACAGGAGAAGAGAACTCACTCCATGTTGGATTGAGCCGAATACCGACTGCATAACGTTGATAATGTCTGTTTTCTTTGTGAATTTTTTTATGCCAAGAAAGCCTTTGAGTTGTTGGAGAGCAATGGTGATGGCAGCTCCACCCATGAAGCCAACGATGGCAGCATGGGACAAGAAGTCAATTAGGAATCCCAGCCTGATCCCACAGTTAAAATTTACACTCAATAAAGTAGAAAAGAGCTGGGGATTTCATAGGAACATATCAAGACCTTCAAAACTAACAAGTTTTTGAATGAAAGTGTTCAATCACCTCAGAAACCCAAGAGTGGCTTGTGTTATGCCTGCAAAGAATGTAGCTGTAAATACCAGCCGCCTGTATGCTTCTGGGTTAGTAGTGGAATCGATTTCAGCTTGAACTAGTGTTCCCAACAAGAGAGAAACAACAGCAACTGGACCAATGGCTATATCTCTCGAGCTACCCATAAGTGCATAAATTAATGGTGGAACAAAACTTGAGTCTGCAAAATTTTTGGAAAAGAATGATGAGATTAGCCTCACAAGAAAATCTTTGATAAGAACCATGTTAGGAGTTAATAGCCGAACAAAAACTCACATAATCCATATTGCGGATCCAAATTTGCAAGCTTTGCATACCCAATATCCTGATATTGTAAGAAATCAATCATTAGCAAGTAGCATTATCTATGCCTTTTTTAGTATCTTCCTTGTTCAAAATCATTACCTACGAAAGTTTAAGAAGCTATACCTGAGGAATGCAGAGACTAGCAATAGTGAGTCCAGCAAGAAGATCTCCTCTGAACTTAGTCAAATTGTAATCTCTTCCCCATTCAAGTATAGGGAAAACAGCCTGGATGCCGAGAATAAATTTCCGCGCCTTGGTTTGATCCTTAAATGAACGCAGAGGATCATCTGGGAAAAATGTTTCTTTCACTCCGGACTTGATTTCTTTCAAGAGATTTTGCTTTGGTGGAACCCCAACTTTGTGAATGTATGGCTCATCTTGTTCTTGATCATTTGGTGATGTCAAACTTGTATTGTCCTCCTTTGTTTCAGGTCCCTCCTCGGTGGTTGAATTCTCTCTCTTATTCATTTGAACTTGTACTTAATTGTCACCTGAATTTGAAAGAACTTGATAAGAAAATACCATAAGCATACATAAACATAAACAATTCTTAACTTAATCAAACAGCGATCACAACACGTGTATACATAATACACTTCAAAACACTAAATCAATATTAACAAAACTTCATATCAGGAATTATAGACAAATAAAAGCTGACCCCTAGTTGAAATGGAGAAGGAAAATGGATGTGGAAATTAGCAGCCGAGTTCCTTCGTATATATACACAAAAAAACAGACAGAAATTTAGAATGAAGTGGTTCCTAATGACCTAAAATTGCTAGACAAAATTCTTTCACATTTTTGGTTACTTTATAGATTTTTCTTTTTTTACCTGAGGACCACAAAGAGCCTTAAGGAATCCAACAGCACGAGAGTTTCGTAGTAATAGAAGACTTCACCATAAGAATACCATGTTTGATTGAATATAGCCACTATTTTACTTGAGACTGACACCAAAGGCCCACAATGCACCATAAGAAAACACATCAACTTGAATGCAACTTCTAAAATAGAAACAAAGAAACAATATTCTCGCAAAGGGCATTGTGATGTTACAGAAACAATGTAGTAAATTTTTTAAAAAAAGGTTATTATTTTTAACTCGAAGAAATTGAGGAATATCCAAAGAGCTAATCTTCCATAAAAATAAAGCATCAAAATCATGGATGGCATATGATTGTCATCATCTAATCATCTAACAATGTAGCTCGATAGACCCCTCCATTATTCCCCAAAACTTTCAAAGAAGAATCAGCCCAAAATTACCTCGTGTCCTTAGTTCTGCCTCTAATTCCAAAAGGTATTCCTTGTTCAAAAGCTGGCCCCAGATTACCTGTTTAAGAAGAGATTATTTTTTAAACACCAAAAGGGGAGAAAAGTGGAATTTTTTTATGTACGAGGGATAATGAGTTGCAATGGCACACCTTTTTCCTCTTTCTGCTTCTTCCTCCCAACACTTGGTGGTCTGAAACGTTTCTTATTTCTGAAAGATTCTTGTTCTGCTCTGTGACTGATGACAAATAAAAATAAATAAATAAATAGAAAAATCACCACCTAGAGATCTTTTTTCTTTCTTTCTTTTATACAAGGCCAAAGCCAAACGAAAGTGACGAAATGGTGACTACATGCAATGAATCCACAAGTTTTTGGCTATTTTTAGTACATTCTGACCCAAAAACTGAATTTGGAATTGTAGCCACGCATGCATGGGTGTCTGTTTTATTTTTGGCAAAATCGACTAAAATGAAAAATAGTTCCCCAGTTCTCAAATCTTACCAATTGTTTTCTCTTTTGTTTTTCGAGGAAGACGATAGATATCTTGAATCTGATAGCTAGTTCTGTGTTTGTGTTTGGTTGCGAAGAAAACTTATGAAGATGGACAGATTTTTTTGTGTGAACTGATGGTTTTGGTTTGTAATCAGAATATATATTGAGCACTGGAATCGCCAAAAATAAGACATTCCGAGTAAGTAACAAGAAAATGTTACCAAGCAATGTTATGGTCAAAGTTTTAAATATCGATATGGATCCAAATGCAGAGGTCTCAATTCTATTGATAAAATATCAATATTGATGGATATTTCTAGAAATGTTATAAAAATAGAAAAAATCGTAAAAAGTATTTAAATTGACTAATAGCATTTTTTTTAATACATCCAATAACACTCAACCTTTATAGATAAGTTAACTAATATTAATATTATGTCTATATAATGATATTTTTGTCGATATTTTTTATATTTTGTCGAATTTTTTTTGTAATGCTATAAAATTCTCGATTTACTTACATGGATAGTAATATGTGGAACGATATTTAATACCTGGTTGCGGCAAAAAAAAAAAGACAAAAAAAAAGGAAAAACGAAAAGAAAAGAAAAATGCCACGTGGAATGTTGGGACAGAAAAACAGGTGTAGAAAATGTAAGGCTCTTGTCTTGTCTACTTTACGGTGTTGTTAGGGGCCACTAACGAACACGTCGGACGAACTTGAACTTGGTCGGTATCTCGTCGTTGTACGGTATGTGACTGGGCGACCGTTTCAAGCCCATCAAATTTCATACTGGAAATTGGCTCACCCATTCCAAAACCTGATTTCAGAATTTTTTTTTTTTTGAGACGCTGATTTCAGATCATTTCAAAACATTGTTTAAGTTGTTTCTTTTTGTTCCAATTTCCAAGCAAGTATATCCCTGACTAATGGGAAGACCCCCTCTATGATCCGGAGAACCGGCACACTGACCCTATATCCTGTCTCTTATACACATCCTAATGGGAAGACCCCCTCTATGATCCGGAGAACCGGCACACTGCTCATCAATTATAATTACTTTTGTAATTTGAATTTAGTTCAATTAATTAAGGTATCTATCTCCGATTAAGAAGTTGTGAGAAGTAGAATTAGTTAGTGTTAGAGCAATTAAAGATGGATCACGAGTGGAATAATTGTTCAATATTATTCTCGAATTTCCAATTCCGGCCTACAAGTTTAATTTTGTGCCATAAAAATATTGTTGCAAACGAAACTCATATTCTGCAAATACTAACTATATATATTTCATTGATGCAATGTTTTTGGAGCATCATGTCGAGCTCTCTAAAATTTTTTTAAGTAAATAATAACAAAGGAATGGTGAAACATTTTTAAAGATCAATAATATGCATCAATAGAGGAAATAAATTAAAAATCAAAAATTTTAATTTAATAAAATAAATTGTTTGATCTCCAGGGGTGGAAAATAACACTAGGCAGACCTATCTAATATACTTTGAATTTAGCTGCAACCTTTTTCACTCACATCTTCATCTGAATATCCAATTCAAATGTTTCACAGCATCCCATGAAATGTTTTCTTCCTTTGAATTTGAATTTCATCGCCATATGTACATATGAACAAAAACAAACTCCTTCAACTTTGTGTAATCATGTTCAGAGATTCAACTGCTGTACAACTTCACTAAACTTTCTAATGAATGGGGTTTGGAGCCTGGGATTTCCTTCACTACTGTCCCATTTCTGTATATTTTAAAACCTGGAATGGAGCTCACATTCTCCAACTTCGCCAAATATGGATGGTCTTCTATCTCCACCTGATCAATTCCACCCCACATTATTTACCATTTTAACTTCCAAAATTCAACATAAAACCAGGGAGTAACTAGATTTTCACCTTGAGAAAATTCACCGATGGAAACCGCTTGTAAACTTGCTCGAACACTTCTAATTCTAACCCCTGTTTATGGCTGCTTTTGTTGCAGAACAGAACCACTGACATCCCTGCACCAAATTTAAACCACTAATTACAAATCTGAAGAACAAAAATGAAACTTTATCTTCTTATTGTTACTTACCAGGAGAAGTAACAAAGTGCCTAAAACGTTCATAGCTAGAAATGGACACCAAATTGGACCCAAATTTCAAGTCCTTAACATCTTCCCCACGCTGCTTTCTGAGTTGCACCTGCGCCTCAAACAGGGCCCTCCCCACTTCCTCATTTCCTGGACTCTCCCTTATCAACACCTCATAATCTTGAATCGAAGCCTCCCATCTTTCCATCTGATCACAAATGGTTTCAAAATTTAGGCCTAAACCAGCAAACACAGCATAAAAGAGCTGAAAACTTGTACTTACTTTGGCATTGCAATCAGCCCTCCGCAGTCTGGCTTTGCTGTAACGAGGCTGTGCCTGAAGAGCAGCAGAGCAATCTTCAACAGCTTTCTCATACTGCCCCAGCTTCCATCGGCAAGCCGCTCGGTTGCATAACAAAATCGAGTTATACGGGTCGTTTTCTAGGCCTTCGCTATAGGCAATGCAGGCCTCGGAGAATCTTGACTCCTTGAAAAGAAAATTGCCTCTCAATCGAGCCAATGAAACTACTCTGGCCCATTTAGCCACTCTACTTGCCTCCTTGTTTCTTGGATCAAGTTGTGTTGATTGGTCTGCTGCCGCCACAGCTTCCTCAAACCTGTAATATGAACACAACCCAAGTCTTATTCCTCAATAAAATTCAAGTCCCATTTCTCATTTCTTAGTTTTAAGATAAATTTAACTCTTTCAAGTTCTAACCTTCCCATGGTCATGTAAACTTGTGCCTCGATGGATAAAATAAGGGCACTATCAGCTAAACTAAACGACTTGGTTAGAGAGTTGGTTTTGAGGCTTCGACCCTTTTGGTAAATGGCATAAGCCTCTTGATGTCTATGGAACTTCAGTAGGGCCTCGGCTTGCAGGGCATAGAGTTTATAAGCTGAATTGGCAACAGAGGAAATTGCATATTGTGACTCCTTTAACAGAGTGTTCCATTCATGCAACTTTCTTGCTTCAAAGCACCTACTCAGGCAACTCTGAAGAGCACGAGCTTTATGAATTTGGTTTGAGTCACTGTAAGGCCCGGATTGTTCCAAATGGTCCAAAGCTTTCTCGGGCTCCCCAATTCTACAAATAAACAGATGGGTTTTTTCAAAATGGCATAAAAGTTTAGAATCAACGAACAAAAACAGAGATTTGTGTTGTTACCTGAGATAGGTAGTGGCTAAACGATGGTGAGCTCTTTGATAAGAAGGTTGAATTTCCAATGCCTTTTTGCATTCTTCAATGGCTTCCATTAGACGGTCTAAGCCAATTAAAGCAGCGGCTTTGTTACTGTGGTAAACAGCATTCCCTGAATCTAAGCCTATTGCTCTGTCGTATAAATCCAAGGCCTCTTCATATTTCCCTTTTTTGTATGCTTCATTTCCCATGGACTTCAAAACATCCGGCTCTAATCTACCTCGAATCTGTCGAAACTCTGAAGAATTCCTCCTCATGATGTTCCCCATAGTTCCACTTCCTCCAAGTTTTGGACTTGAATTCATGTCTTTTAGATTCTTAGAGAGGAAACCCAAATTAGAACTTTCAAGCCGTGGACTGTTGTTGGCCGACAAATTCCCACTTCCAGCTTGCTTCAAGTTACCCAAAATCGCCCCATTGCTTAAAGACTTTCGAATGGGAGCTTTGGGTTCGTTGAATTGTTGCTGCGAATTCATGGCTCTTGCTTGTGCAGAGCCATTGGAGGACGATGTGGAGCTTCTCGCAGCATCGGAAGGCCTTCTGCTTTGGATTTGACACTTCTGTTGAGAAATTGAAGGCCTTGGTTGGTCCAAAGTTGGCTTTTTGGGGGTTTTTGGATCTGGGTCCGCCGGAGCTTTGGCTGCAGCGGCCGGATTTTCGATACACACTTCGGAAACAGAGCGCCGGCTCTGCCTTTTGGGATTTTCAGTGGTGGGTAATTTTAAGTTTCCATTATCGGTGTTGTTTGTGGGTAATGAATGTACAGAGGATTTTCTCAGCCACTTGCACCGTCGCTGGAAAATCCTCCTCATAAACCCACAACGAGAGAAATCGGCCGTCTTCTCCATGATTCTTGCAGCAATTCAGACGGTGTTCACAAGGCTGCGGAAATAAATTGTAAAAACAGAGCACAAACAGATCAATACAAGCCAAAAAGAAACCTCATGTTTCATGGATTCAAAGCTAAACACATCAATACAAGGAAAGAAAAAAAGTTAACAAGATAGAATTTTGTACCTTTCTTGTTGCGTAAGCTGGATC